TTGCTTGACTGGCACTTGGGCAATCTCCCATCACGCATTCTCAATCGATCATCGGAATGCGCACAGGGCTTCAAGCACTCGAGAGTGGGGCGTTACAATTGCCCGCAAACGTCATCGGCGAGTGAGCGTTCATCGACTGCTTTTGGGAATGACCGCTCAGAGCAATGTCCGCTCCCAACCACCGAATCAATCTCAAGTCGAAGCCGCATCTCGAGCGCCTACAACAACTTTCGCGGTGATTGTGATCATGACAATCCAGGGAATGGTGACTAATATACAGAATTTGCGAGTCGACATGCAGACGAATGCTGGAGTGTTGTCACGAGGCGATGATGAGACATGAAGTGATCGAAGGAAGATGATTCGATGCGCTGCAACAGATAAGCTCAATGTCCATGGTGGCCCACCAATCCTTGTAAAGCTTTGGGAAGCATGCTACCGAGCAGCAATATAGCTATGCGTCCCGTGCGTCCAAGCAGCGGGCCTCTTCTCACCACCGACGACTCGGCAGAGAGCGGCGCTCGTCTCCGGGGATTGCTAACGCTAGGCGCCGAACCCACACCACCAGCTTGACCGTTGGAGCGACTTTGGCTGCTGACTTCTTCTTGGTCCGCAGATGGCGCCGTGGCGTGGTTCACAGCGTGCATGGCCACAAAGAGGAAGGTACCTGCGCTGAAAGTCAATGCCGTTCCAATGTGCTCGGCGGCAATGCCACCTCCCTGCGCTGGCTCATTCCGCAGGAATACAGATAGTACGCCGTACGCTGTGCGACAACCAGGCGTACCGAGTCAGCTTCTACGGCCTCCCCGCAACGCGAGACGTGTGAACCTCTACGCACTGATAATGGCCCCTAGAGGCGTGCTGAGTGCGAAGATCAAGATGGCTTGCCTGATAGCCCTTCTGTGCAGCTTTTGACCAATCAGTAGAGTACACAAACCAAACGCAGCCGGCTGTGCGTGTATGGAACACCGCCAAAGCAGATCAGGGCTGATTAGCAACGATGATCGAGATCGTATATAACGAGACGGATTGCGACTATGCTTGCTCACAGCTTTGTGAATCATGATCGCTAGCCATACGATGACACGGAGCGTTTCGTCTT